AGTTACTCTTTGTGGAGGATTATTAAATAACAAAATGTTTTTAGGCCAGGCTTCAATCTTTTTAAAAATAAATTTAGTACCACAAAATTTATTTTGAATTCAATTTTTGTGGAAAAATCAAAATGATTTGAGAATGAGAGAGAAAAGAGAATTAATGTTATTAATCACCAAAAGGTTGTGACCAAAGTCTTTGCTTAAAAATTCTGCCCAGCTGGCAAATTGAGATATATTTGCAAAAAATTGCAATGAAGCTTGAGATGTTCTGCAAAGTGACTCGGTGCAAAAGAGACACTGCCCACTGTGGGCGGGCTGGATGGAAGAATAGTGCCTGCTCTCAGAACCAATCAGATTTCAGGATGTATAGAATACCACCCACTAATGAGCTGAGAAAAAAAAAATAATATGTACTTATTGACTAAGTGGGAGGGTTGTACAGGATAATATGTGGCTCAAGGTCTGTGCATCATGACTGGAGCTAGATATTTTCCCCTTCAGCCTGACAAAGCTCAGTCAATAAGTATTTTATCATATGACCACTAAGTGTTATGAATGACATTATTTTGTTTGCTGTTTTATTTTATTTTTTTTTTTTTTTCAGATACACATGAGATACATGGACCAATAAGAGACATCAAATGACAATTCTTCATGCAGTTAATGAAATTGTTTTAGGTGAGAATTGACTGAGTAGTAATTCCTTCCTTCAGGGAGTATGCTTCATTTGTAAATTATGGTGTCTCCATAATGTTTATCATTACACAACTCGGGCAGTCAGGGCCGGTAACTAAAATCAACCAATCAAAATGCTCTATTGCCGGTCAATATTCTCTTGGTATTGGACCGGGCACTGTCCGGAATGGTCCCAAATGGTCCCGATTGATACCGCACTTGTGTTCCTTTGAACTTCAGTCGTATAATAAATCTCTTATTAACCAAGCTTGCTCGGAACCTTACTGGAAGAATATCGACCCTCGGTCATTTTTGTACAGACCGAGCTGCGCTCGGTCTGTACTGTCAAGACCTCAGGCGGATATTCTCCCAGTACAGCCCTCATGCTTGGTTCATAAGATATATGTATGTTTTTTGATAACTTCACCCACAACCTAATTTTACAATTTTTTTTCAGAACTTCAATCATGTTACACAATGTACACATTCCACTGGATGTCAGTGCACTTGCCCAAGTGCCACTCAGGTTGCACGTAAGTAGACAATTATAGAAATCATAAATTACAAACCTCATTCCTATTCTAAAGATACAATTTCTGCATATTTATATATGTATACAATAATTGTATGTGTATGTTGAGTAGAAAAATGTAAAGACATTACCAGAAATCCAAGACATTTCATTCTCGCTATACTTCAGGTCTGCGGTGTACTCAAAGTTCTACTGAGCATGCCCAGAGGTGTTAGATTGCAAAACAATATGGCGCGATCGTCATCAGGCACAAATCGTGGGGATTATGTTGCGCTAAATATTCTTTCTTCTGCGGATTTTGAAACAGCTTCGAAAGGCAAAAGGAAATATAAACCTGGGGCAAAATTATATGAAGTGGAGAGGCTTATCAGCAAGCGGAAATCCTCGATTAAAAAGGTGCGACTGAATTCAAATGACGCTCAGTAATCATTTTATTGGGTTCATTGTTTTACCCCAAGGGCTAAATTGGTTGTCTTATTTCAATTTTATGCAGGATGAAGAGTATCTAGTAAAGTGGAAAGATTGGCCGGCTTGGACAAGCCCTTGGGAGCCTTCTACCCACTTGTCTAATGATTTAATCAGGTCAAATGAATTTTGAATTAGGCTAAATTGAATAATTCATTGGTTAACTTTTTACAGTGGCCTTAGAAACAATAATTCTAATTGTTTTCTCTCTAAACTAAATCTGACAGGGGTTACCCGTATCCAAAGATTAACACTGAACAACTAGAGAAGGCTGCTGTTGTTTTTACTGAAGCAATATTAGGCATTCTTAAAAGCAAGGCTGTGAAAGCCACCTACTCAGCAGAAATTCCAGTTGATCATGATATCCTCAGATATATATTTAGAGGTCGTGGAACCTTGTCAGGGGATGGGATTTCAATGGTATATGAAATCACATATTTTAGTAGGTTTTGCCTTCCCTCTTATTGGTACTATTATTTGAATGAGCTTGGGCAAGGTATTGCTATAAGTTTCCCCCTTAAATTAAAACCGGTACTTAAGTTTACCAAGAAACGCTTCATCTTTTCTAATGGTAAACTTAAACAGGCACCCATGTCTCCAGTTGAAAATGTTATTATTACAGTGAATAGGAGGGCATGCGATAGATTTAATATTTAATCCAATGTAAAAATAAACAATAATGAACACTATTATTGTTATTACTATTTTTAAATGAAGTTTTTTTTACATCTAGCAACATACGAATCAGAACTGTAGCAATGAAACGATGAATTAATTTTTTCAAGTCTGGAATGAAAATAATTTAAATATAATTATGATATAACATATTGTCAACTTAATATAGACATAGTGTTCATTATGCTTGTATGAAAATGTCTCAGTACATTTTATTTTACTCATTTCGTCAAACCTGTTTTTTTAATGTGGAGGGGGCTGGGGTCAGCTATTATCCTGAATTAATTTCATAGATTGCTGGCTGGCTTCAACAAATTACTTATGCCAGAGATGTGAAAGCCACCTACTCAGCAGAAATTTCAGTTGATCACAGTATCCTTACATATATATTTAGAGGTTGTGGAACCTTGTCAGGGGATGGGATTTCAATGGTATATGAAATCACTGATTTTAGTAGGTTTTGCCTTCCCTCTTATTGGTACTATTATTTGAATGAGCTTGGACAAGGTGTTGCTGTAAGTTTCCCCCTTAAATTAAAACCGGTACTTAAGTTTTCCAAGAAATGCTTCATCTTTCCTAATGGTAAACTTAAACAGGCACCCATGTCTCCAGTTGAAAACGTTATTATTACAGTGAATAGGAGGGCATGCGATAGATTTAATATTTAATCCAATGTAGAAATAAACAATAATGAACACTATTATTGTTATTACTATTTTTAAATGAAGTTTTTTTACATCTAGCAACATACGAAACAGAACTGCATGTAGCAATGAAACGATGAATTAATTTTTTCAAGTCGGGAATGAAAATAATTCAAATATAATTATGATATAACATACTGTCGACTTAATATAGACATGTGTTCATTATGCTTGTATGAAAATGTCTCGGTACATTTTATTTTACTCATATTGTCAAACCTGTTTTTTTGATGTGGAGGGGGCTGGGGTCAGCTATTATCCTGAGTTAATGGGATAGATTGCTAGCTGGCTTGAACAAATTACTTATGCCAGAGATGTAGAGAAGTAAAACAGCCATTTGTATAATAATTTGAAAGTAATGTTCAAGAAGAAATTCAGGTTAAAATGGTTTTAATGTGGTTTGATTGTAGATTTCTTTTTAATCAACGTAGATAATAATAATAATTATTATTATCACTATTCATTGTCATGGAAAGAAATTGAGAAGCAAAGTAGATGAAAACCATTTTAACCAAAATTTCTCTGCTACATTTACATTGGTAATGGTAACGGCTCACTGTTAATTTTTCAGAAAATAACTTGAATACATCTGTATCTTACAACTGTTTCTATTCCTATTGAATTACAGTCAAATGGCTTGTTTAATCTAAGTTCTTTGCATAAATTATGCTGACTGATTCACTAGGCCTTTTTTAGCACCTCAATTAACTCACATTTTTTAAATTTTGCTAGCCCCTTTACTTGAATTTTCTTTGTTCTGATCCTCTTATGGAGTTGAGCCACACTAAGTTTATTAAGATCTCCCTCATTGTGATACAAAGCTGCACTTGAAGGGCCTGGTTCTTGGTCAGATGGTTCCACAAAAGTTACTTGTGATCGTTGCCTCTTTTTTCTTGATTGAACAATGCCTTCATTCCAGTAACAATCCTGTTTCTTTTCATATCTTCGCTTCTCTCTCATGGCCCTGCAAAGACAGTTGTCGGGATTCCAGAAGTAGAACATCTCTAGCAGCATCCCACTTATTAGACTTCTTAAAAAAATTTTTTTTTGCATCATCATTATTTTTTTCTACACCTTGCCCTGTGAACTGCTTAATTGATGAAAATGTTTTGGTGACAAGTGGCACATGGTAGGCAAGTGAATGCATACAAGGTGTGACTCTGTCCTTTCCATATTTTATGCTTCCGTTAGCAAGTGAACAAAACAGATCTATGAATTTCTTCCCCCTTTCTGAGACCTCAAGGTACTGTTCAGCATTTGTGTTGTAATAATTTATGATTTTGTAGAGATCGTTGAAGTCAGACCACAGCTGAATTACAACATCTTTCGTTTCAGGGAAGAGGACATCTTTTTGTTGCAGTTGTGCTGGCAGAAATTCCATAAGCTTTTTTTTATCTGATCCAATTAGACTTGTTCAGTCATAAGATCCACTTCCTTTCCTGTCTGCATTCTTCTTTTCCCAGATGGAGAAAGGAATTCCTATATTATTTATAGCCTTGACAAGGGACTCTAGGTACACACCTTTCTTCTCTCCCCTTCCCTTTCTGAGGTCAGCATTGCTGTCCCTTCCATAACTTCAGTTATTACGTTTTCAAGTAGGCGGTCTGTTTTTCTCATCATCAGATGGAGTTCATCCAAAATGACATGGTCTAGTTCAATATTTAAAAGGGGCTTGTTTATAACAGAAAATTTCCTAAGGGGTAGCATAGATTTCATATTGGACAGAGTCCTTTTCATTTCTGTGGAGAGGTAGTGCTCGATTGGTTTTTCAGTGTTCCATCTATCCCACCTGTGAATAAGGCACCAAAGACAAGCATAAGTAGATGTGGCACCACTAAGACCCATGGCCATCAGAAGAAACTTATAATCTCCTCCCAGAAACATTTCAATTTTCACCTCTTTCCCATCAACCTCAATTGAGCCAGCTTCCAAAGTAGTGTTGATTTCATCGATGGCTGATCTGAAAGAGTTTACCATGGTGTCATACTTTTCTGGGCCATTGACAATTGCTATGGTTCTGTTGCCTTTAGAGGACATCACCTTTTCACCAGTTTGAGGAAGACAGAAGAAGAGGATCATGAAATTAGTGCTCCAGGACATTTTTGCCCCATCACCACTGATCTTGACTTTCACAGGTTCATTTAGGTCATAATGTGGATTATTTTTTAAAAGTTCTCTCACATGTTCAATCAGTGTTTCTCAGATAAAGATATCTGGGCACCTGGGTACTGGCCAGGAACAGGTTGAATTGTGCAAATCTTGTTAAGTTCATTTCGCTTTTGTTTGACTAAATAAGACTTTGGGAGCTCATCACACATCATTGTAAGTTCGTGATAGAGTTCATCACTTGCACAGAATTTATCTAAGAGAAAGAGGACTTGTTCCAGTTTTTCATCTTCCTCATCTGTAATGCTGGTTGGTGTGGGTGTGGGTACGGCAGACTTTTCACTGCCAAAATGAAGCGTATATGGTGTGCCATGTTTGGCATCCGCACCTTTGAGGCAACTCANCGGAGGAACAGGTTGAATTGTGCAAATCTTGTTAAGTTCATTTCGCTTTTGTTTGACTAAATAAGACTTTGGGAGCTCATCACACATCATTGTAAGTTCGTGATAAAGTTCATCACTTGCACAGAATTTATCTAAGAGAAAGAGGACTTGTTCCAGTTTTTCATCTTCCTCATCTGTAATGCTGGTTGGTGTGGGTGTGGGTACGGCAGACTTTTCACTGTCAAAATGAAGCGTATATGGTGTGCCATGTTTGGCATCCGCACCTTTGAGGCAACTCAATTCCAATCCATACGACTTCATGAACCAAAGTGCCACTTCTGCTCTACTTTTTAGTGCTTTTAGTTGCCTGGACCTCTGCCTTTGGCAAAGATCACCCAGCTTCTTCCCAGTGCACCCCACCTCCCCCAGCCTCTCCTCGAGCCTATTTATGTGCTGAAACAACTCATCGTTTTGTCCTCTTACTTGAATTATTTCCTCATCTTTTTCCTTCAGGTGTTCGTCCGTTTCTTTCAGGGCTTCATTCATTTCTCTCACTAGTTCTTTCTTTTGATCTTTCAGGTCTTCAATTTTTTCCTTCCACTCCTGAATCTCTTGTCTTGAGCACATAAGTTCTTCTTCAACACCTTTGAGTGATACAAGTTCATGTTCAGAAATGCTAACTTTAAGACTTTGTTGATTGAGTTGATTCCTTTCTCGACTATTCTTAGCATTTCTGTACTTGCTTCTTATTGACCCAGCTTGTTTTGACAAGTTGTTAATGATTCGTTGCCCTGACTCTTGGGTTATTCGGGCGCAATGCCCGGGGATCAAATCTTTAACAAGAGTGATGTAGTTACGAGTGTGCACTTCAGGATCGCTCTTGTCAACGTTGTCATGCCATTCTTTTAGGAGAAAATACGGTATTTCGACTGACAAGGCAATCTGAGATTCGTCAACATCCTCTCGGCTGCGATAATTTTTCGCTGGTCTGCTAATTCGAAGATTAGCCGCAGCTTTGTGTTGCTCACGATCGCTTAATAAATCAGACATGGTTTGAACTTAAAAACAAGTAAACAAATGCGCTGCAGATGCTACAGCAATGTCGTAATATTTAAATAATAATTTCCAAGCAGAAATACAATCACACACGCAACCCACGCGCGAAGGGACTGAGATGGTTCTTGGGTATTGAAAACAGTGGACTGCTGTTTTTAAGACCAGCGTACTTCCACATGAAATTGCCTCGCCATCGCTATATTCCAAAACAAAGAAGGAAAAGTGCCGATACGGCGGACGTTTTCTATATTTGCATTGCGTTTTGCATTGTTATGACGCGTCTCTTCTTAGGGACATGTTGGATAAATAACTGGATTATCACTCTTCTTATGCGTTGATTTGTTCGAACTTTTTAGTCGAACTACAGGAAAATTCTGGTGGTTATTGAAAGTTTGTTCTTAGACGATGATGTGGAGAGCGATGGAAAATGAATTCATTCAAGGTTTGATGTCCAAATTTGAACATTCCTCAGGTAATATTTGACGACATTTGAGAACTTATGAGACATTTTGAGTCTCTTTTAGGTTAAATCTTGAATCATCATTTGTCCGAACTTTTCTTTTTAAAATCAACCACCGAACAATATTTTTAGTATCACAAGGATGTCGTCTTTGTTTCAGGAGCGATGGCAGATGGTCATCCTCTTTTACAGGTCAGTAATTAGGATATATATTTTTTATCCTATACATTTCTTTGTAATCGTTTCTCCGCCATCTTTAAAGGCTTGGTGAGGTGAAATATGATCGATGTCTCCGATTTCTGGAAATGTTATGTTTTATCCCTACAAGCCTGTTTTGTGATTGCTCACTTATCAGGTGGGGGACTTTATTGAAAAGAATATTCGTTACCATGATTTATATACTTTACAAATTTGCACAAGAGGCGTGGTGGTGAATTTAAGTACTTTGTTAAGTTATTGCGCAGTGATGCTTTCTTTCTGTGGCGGCATGAGGTCATAAGTTAATTATGTTTATTGAGTGATGATAATTCAGTTCCGCAGATGATGCGTAGTTTTTCTTTTAGGCAGAAGTTGCATCTTTCACTTGTGTTGGTGTAGGTTGATCTAGATGAAAGGATGTACTACGAAATTAAGTGGTCAACGTTACTTTTTTTGAGAGACCAGATGTGTTTGCTGAGWTCGGTAGAGTTTCTGTGTTTTATGTGTCGGAAAGATGCGGTGTGGTTTCTGTATCTAGTTTTAAAGTCGTTATCTGTGAGTCCAATGTATGTTTCAGTAGTGTTGTTGTCCTTGCATGTGACGGTGGCTTGGTAGATAACTGATGTTTGGAGGTAGTTTCTGTTAAGTAGGCAATTGTTCTCTTGTCGGTAGTTGCAAATTTTTTTTTGTCTTTTGTATTGGTGCCATCTGCGATTTCGTCAATGTGTTGGGGGGAATTTAAAATGTGTTTGTTGTGATTGTCGATGATCTGTTTGGTGTTGTTCATGCAGCTGTAACTGATCGTGATTGTATTTTGGTTAAAGATTTCGACCAAGCCACCCCTACATACCAAAAAGCACTTGACGAATGCAGATGCCGGTACACCCTACACTATAAACACCCACGACCAACAAACGAACAAACAGACAACGGAACAACATACTCGGGTACAACCACCCCCCATTCAGCAAAAACGTCCGCACCAATATCGGACACAAATTCTTTACCCTAGTAGTTCCCTAAAGACCACAATCTCAGAAAAATCTTTAACCGAAATACAATACAAAAACGTAGTCGTCGTATTTTTCTACCCAACACATATTGCACTCTACTTTTATACTGCACTGCACTAAAATCATGCCATATGCTAATTTGTACTGGGTTTGACCATTTCCCGAACTTCTCTTTAGCTTTTTTTTTCATTAATTGAAAGTGAAATTTTGGAACAAGCGAGCTGGCGAGTAGCAACAGAAGAACCAAACAAAGGTTTGTAAACATGCCAAGCGCCAAAATTGATGGTTTTATAACGTTAGCAGAGATGAAAATCCTCAAAGAGAAAACGAAATGGACAGTGTTAGTTTTGAAGGTTTTCACTCTCAGTTAGATTGTAAGCTTATCTAAGTAAGGTAATAAAAATAAATCACTGCTAACACTCTTAATAGTATATATAACTTTGTGTTCAAAAAGAAAACAGAATAAAACAGGAATGATGAAAAATATAGCCAAACTGGCATAACTGTTATCATTGATTTCATACAAATCATGATAGTGTTAGAGTGACTGTGATTATGCTGAAGTCCATTGCACCTAGCTTGTCATGGGAATTTGAACTCATTGCAGTGAAGCAAGCCGCAGAAATTGCATCAGCGGCCCTTCGAGGAAGTTTGCTCTAATATTAGGAAGCTTAAGCAACCACCACGACGAATGGAGGACGACGACCGGAAGTAACGTGAACGTCACTGCGCAAGCGCAAACCAACAATTCCGTCGTCGTCGTCGTGTCGTCGACGACTTCAGAAAGACCTGTTTCACGTCGTCGTGATCTTCCGAACTTGAAAGCAGTTTTTCTCATCTAAAGGTGCGTGTTTATTGTCGTTTTTTTTTAACAGTCTATGGCCGGTTGGAGTTTGTATTTGCTTATTCGGTTGATTTAAACCTCCCTGTTGAGTTTTCTAAACAACCATAAAATTCTAAAACCAGCTAACTCATTTTCCTTCCTCCGCACAACAGATGTCAAGTCAAGCGGTGAGAGCGACCACGTAGGTTTAAATTTATTTGAGTATATTTTATGAAATAGTGCTTTTTATCATTTTTATTGAATGAAAAGTTTTAAATGGCAGTACAATATACCTCTGCGTTCGGTCAAAAGCTGTGTGTATGGAACTGCCGGATTATTGCTACTAAAAATTTTGCGTGTTTATATCAGCGACACTTAGAACTGAATTTAAATCTCAAATAACTTCCGTAAAATGTAATATTTTTAACTTTTGTCAGGCGTAAATTATTGTAAATAAAGCTAAAGCTTAATAATTCCTTGGACTGTTGATGTTCAAGAATTGAATAACCTACTCTCGAACTGTCGATGTATAGGTGGAAATTTCTCCGCAAAATTAGATAGTCAAATGTCTGGAACAGTAAAACTATACAGAATTCTAGCACTCTACAATCTGAGATCTTTTTTATTTATACTTTGACAGCAATCCGAACTTTGTTTGAAATAATGATCACGACATAGCTATGTGCCGGGAAGTCCTCGTAGAAGAACCGTACCGTTTTAAAATGAGAAGTACCGAAAGAGGCCAAGCATGGGAATCAATAGCAGAGAATTTAAACGCAATGCCAGCCCTAAAGTTCAGAGTTACAGCGCGGTCTGTGCGTGACCGGTA